TCTATTTTAATTTTCAAGTATACCTGATATTTATAACTCAATAACATGTTGCTAAGTAGGTACATGATAATAATAACACTATGTAAATTTTTATACGTCTTTAGGGTATTGAAAACTATAATTGTGTACCTACATTAAAGAGGGGGTGTGACCCTAAAAAACGACTTAAGCTACCTAAATCAAGAAAAAAATTCTAAGATCTCTCGTGAAAACCGCAGTCCTATATTCGAAATAGTCTCCGAGAAAATTCCTTATGAAGATCCAGGAACTTGTGATGTCACAACCGCCGAAATGGGAGTCTTCTGTTCGTTCAGTCGTCAGTGAACCGTACCTATACTTTGAGTGGTTTCAATTCGCCCTAGGAGATAATTTCTTTTGTTTTGGGAAAGTTTTATACGTGCTAATACTGTCCCTGATAATCCAGTGTGACATCACAAACACCTATTTGTAACTTTAAACCGTCATAACTCGAAAACGGACCATCGTTGCAAAATGCGGTTTGAATACTTATTCTTAGATTTTTTTGTACTAAAACTTTCATTTTTGGCTCACACCCCCTTTAAGCTGCGTAGGTATTATTGGGGGTATTATTTTAGCGACCTTGCTTCTAAAATAATATGTAATAATTGGGTAGTGGAGAAAACTTCCTAAATATCCTATTTATTACCTTATATTTCGATACCTATAACAAAGTGGCGACAAGAAAAAAATAGTTATTTACATTACAAGTGCGTTTATGAACATAATTACAATAACGAGTGTGAAAGATTCTAATCACACGAGTTTTGTAGTCATGTTTAAACGCACGTGTGATGTACAACTTTTTATCTACAAAGGGAAAAATAAGATTTTTTTTTTTCAACCATTATCCTTTATTAGTCGTTGTATACCTTCATTTTATCTCTACAGGTTTAATTTTGACATTTGTCAAATCACCAAAAATAGTTGTGTTATGAATTCATAACCTTGTCCATAACACAACTAGTTGTGTTATGAATTCATAACCTAGTCCATAACACAACTAGTTGTGTTATGAGCCTCATGACATAACGCAAATACTGGAAAAATAGTTTTGTAAAAACGTCATAGCCAAACGCTTGTAGATAAAAAAAATTATATCAGAGTTCGAAAAAAAAATTAGAATAAGTGCATAAAAAAAAAAATTTAGTCATCATTACTTTCTCTAAAAAAACACTTTTTTATTCTTATATTGAAATCAAATCCATGAAAAAACTGTTGTGCCATAAAAAAAATTAATAAGTAAGTAAATTATTTCATAACATTATCTCGACTAGACTTGGGAATATGAAATTTAAGGGATATTAAAAAAAAATACTTCAACATCACTTTCCAGTTTTGACAATAGTTTATCTCACTTGCACCATGAGTTAAACAGAGGTTTAAATTTTAACAAAGGTTTTTTTTTCGTAACTGACTTGCACCGCAAGTTAATCCTTGTTTAAGTAGGTACCTCTAAGCTGCTGTTAAAATAAACCCCCAATTTTGGTGGTTTAAAATCACAGTTAACGATTTTCGGGTCTATAGTGCCGTCCAAATAAAAACGGCTTTTATACAGGGTGTCCCACGACGTTTCTGCCAGGTAATAACTTCGGAACGCGTCATCCAATATAATTGAAAATTTGAGGATCTGGGTAACTTTTTGTGCCGCTTCTACCATTTTCGTCCAATTTCACCAGTTTCGCTTCAATTTCGATTTCGATCAAGTGACGTCATCTTTCGAATTTTAAATGTAACTTATGGTATATTATGGCCTTTTTCGTTAGAAAATTAGATTACAAAATCGGCAATGTCATATTTGTTAAGGCTTTGTTAAAGAAAATGATAAAAAATTATACAATGGAACATATGATGATGCGTTCCGAAGTTATCATTTGGGACAAACCTCGTGGAACACCCTGTATATATATATATATATATATATATATATATATATATATATATATATATATATTTTTTTTTTTGGGAAAAATTCCATCAAACAGAAACGTTTAAGCTATTAATGCGCAAAATGCATATTTTCCATCAGAAAATTTCAATCAAAATTGAACACCTTTCAAAAATCAACTACGAAAATTCCCTACCAATTTGAGACCAAATAAATTGGTTGATATAATCCACAAGAAAGGGAGGCTGCATTACTCCTAACCTCCTTAAGTACCTATTATTGCTTGAAAAACGACCAATAACTTTCAACGTTGTTAGTAAGAACACGAGTACAAACTCCAAGTTATGGGATCTTGAAATTTAAATTATTCTTTGGTCTTCGATTGCTCGCTCCGCTCGCCAAATCTCAAAGAGAAGATCCTTGGAAATGTAAATCTACCAAAAAACGTAAACGATTGGAACCGAGTTCGGAATCAAGTTCAACAGCGACTTCAGAACATTTGGACTTTATTTCGGATTCCATCTAGAAGACGAAAATATGAAAAAATACGAAATTTTACACGCCTTTGCAGTCAAAATTAATACATACACCTCAAAAGTCTGTAAAGCTCTTCACGAATATTTGCGTATTTGGCTCGGTATTTGGCATCCATCTCGGATAGGTGAAAATCTAGAAAATTGAAACTAGAGAAACAGAGAGACGAGAACACATAAACAGCCAAATATTTGTAGCTATTTGCCGAAGGTGTGATGGAGGCCTAATATAACAAGAATGCATTCTCTCTACTTTTTCTTTCAGATTTAGAAACACTGAAGCACAAAACTGGACCTCAAATGGAACGAGGCCTTGAAAGTATCAAAATGAGTAGTAAAGACGATGCTCATAGATGATGTCGAACCAAGTGTTGAACTATTGCAAGGTTGCCACTTCTCATGTAATGAAACCTCAAATGAAACATTCCTTAGAAAATAAAAGTTGATGTTTCTAACTGACCAATAGGGACTCAGAAGAATATTTTACTTAAAGCTTAGTTGAATAGTTTAGTTGAAGCTCTGTTACTCCTAAATTAAAGCAAATTCAAAGGCATATCATAATTTTATCACTACAGAACTTCGAGTTATTACCACAAAATTTCCTTAAATTACCCCAAAAATTTCCTTAAATTGCCTTAAATTACCAAAAATTTCCCCGAATTACCACTATATTTCCACTAATTACCATATATTTCCACTCAATACCACTATATTTCCCCTAATTTCCAGTCATTACCACTCATTTCACATAAAATTTCCACTAATTACCACTATTGTGTACACTAAATTACCACAATGAAATCCCCCTCGGGTTGATATTCTAACCAAACGCCATTTTTATGCATCGATTATCGTTTTCCTGACTTGATCGATAAACAAATAAAAAAATGGCAGCCAGAAAGTAATCTCGTGGGCATCCGGTATATAGTAGTGTATAGCCCTAGGCCAGTATAGTACCTATATCTGCCATATGATATCAATGAAACGTGTTAGGTACATAAAGATACACGATACACGATAATCCCAAACAAAATAAGTTTGAGGCACATTTTTGTTGCATCTCGGTTATAACAGAAGTGTACAATAATGTTACACTGGCGGCAAGAGTGTTAAACCATCCTCAAAGTTATTTGCAAGTTTTTCAGGTACTACCCTGAATGGTGTATCTTGATACTACTTATCCTATAACTCCCAAGACCAGTTGTGCCCGAGACTAGGGTGGAAATATCTAGATTATCACAAAAACCACTTTTTTTGCTGAATCGCAATTATTGGATTTACCCCCTTGAATCACCCTCAAAGTTATTTGCAAGTCAAGTGAGGTTCCCTAGACGGTTTATAGTAGTACTACCTATAACTTCCAGTACCATTTGTACCCGAGACTAGGATCGAAATGTTCATATTTTCATAAAAACCCTTTTTTTTTCATGGATCGCAATAATTAGTTTCACCTCTTCAAACCACCCCCAAAGTAATTTGCAAGTCTAGTGAGGTTCCCTGAACGGTTTATCTTGGTACTGTCTATAACTTTCAATACCATTTGTACCCGAGACTAGGGTGGAAATGTCCAGATTATCACAAAAGTGCTTTTTTTCATAGATTTCGGCTTCAAATCTGAGAATTATTTAGTGTATCGAGTTTGGGGGATGTTAATTGACCATAAGGATAGAAAATCTCAACAAAAAAAAACTTGAAATTTCACCGTTTTAGTAAGAAGGTGACCTTATGATTTAGATTTTGAAAAACTTGGAAGGGCATAACTTTTTTCCTAATAAAGATATAAAGCTGAAATTTTCAGCGATTCTTATTCCAGTAGAGGACTACAATCCCTGAAAATTTCAACTATTTTGGACTTATAGTTCCTGAGATAAAAATCGTGTTAAGCAATTTGGGGTGATTTATCAATTTTTCAAATTTTCTGAGTGCCTTTTTTCATAGATTTTGGCTTCAAATCTCACGATAAATCACTGTATGGAGCTTTTGGGGTCCCTAATGATCATCTAGACCCCCCTTAAGTATTGAGTAAATCTTTCTGCAAAATTCTCCCCATACAAAACTTATAAAATGCATTTTTCTAAATAAACCTATGAGGCAATAAATGCACTCTCTAATAATTGTCTGTGAATCATTATTATTTTCAATAAGGTGATAAAATAATTCATTAGAATCGTATGAATTAAATATACCAGAACCACTTGCAAAACATCATAATGTGGTAACCTGTTATTGTTATTTTGAGCAAAATCAAATAATAAATGTGCAACTTTGATTGGATTCTTATTGTGACCTAATTACAACAATTATTGTCTATTTTTGGCCAATAAAATTATCATCAAACGGAAATCAATAAACAATAAATCAGTTAAGGCGACAAAATTGCACTTTCTAAAATTCCAATTCAATTTTACCCATAAGTTATTACCTACATCCCAAAACTATAATTAGCCATTTAAAAGTAGATAAGTAGCGCAAAACCATCATCGTAATCCAACACACGCGAGATAATTGTATGGAATTAATTTAATTTATATAAGTTAACGGTTGTTGAAAAATTGTCTTACCTTCTCATATTTCCGTAGGAATTATCTCCGATGGCGAAAATGTGCGGCGGCAGCTCGCCGATTTTTCGTTCCTTGTACAATTTTATTTGTTCGGCTGTGTAAATCGGTAAAATTTGATAGGGGTTGACTGCAACCAGAATTGAACCAGTGTATGTCTATAAAGGAAAAAGTGATTCTATTAAAAACAAACAAAGGTTTTTGGTGAATTGAAAAGGCAGAATAAAGATGAATTCAATAAAAAAAGGGAGAAGAAGCGAAACTCTGAAAGAAGAGAAGATAATTTGGAAAGTAAGCAAAGAAGAGAAACATGAGTATAAGATGAATTCAAAAATAAGAGAAGACGAGAAATTTAGAAAAATTTTTCTTCCAGTGTTAAACTAATAAGTAGTGACACTGATACCACATCCAGATGTCAAGACACCCTTACTTTTTTTGTAAGTTTGGAGTCGATAATCTCCAATCTACTTACATAAATAAGATTATCATTGTACCGGATCAGCAAATTCCTCAATATTCCAGCTTCGTGAAGATCTCCCAAACCGATCATGTCTTCGACGCCTTGTGCCGATGTGGCGTGCATCGCTTTGATCCGTCTTTCAGACGCCAGCCAGTATTCGCGTCCGTCATCATCTTGAACGTAGATTCGCCGTCCTTCGGATTGCAGGACTCTGGCTCCGATTGCTCCTTCAAATTCTCCATTGGCCACGGGTTCGATCCAGATGTAGTCACCCTGGAAATGATAATATATGATTGAGTATAAACGGCTTAAATTTCGTTTCAACAATAATTTAGTTGCATAACAAACAATGTAGGCTTATGTGACAAAAATTCTAACATAGATACCAATTAGGATTAGAATTTGCATTGAAAGTACCTACATTACCTATGTATTTATTTAATATAATCAGCTTATGTATGTGGCGTGTCAGATATAGGTAGGTTCATCTAGGGTTGCCTTTCGGTTCTTTGAACTTTTAATCTGGTTCGATTTTTTTTTATAAATACATTTTATCAAGGAAATCCTTCATACCTATGTTTAATTTGGATTTAATATCCACAATAAATGACCTGGACAAAAAAGTAAATCTATGAAAATGGATTTTTCAATTTGATTTTTTAGTATGAATGTTATCGATTTGAATTTCTAAAAACAATAAAATATCATATCTCTAACTGTATCATTCCCCCCGGCTTGGGAGGCTACGGGGGAGCGTCGGCAGGTGGCGGATGGCCGGACGGCCTATGTTTTATAGGTTATCACCGAATATCCAATAAGGTGACGCTGACCAACTCTCCAATCCAAGGTGTAACGAGATCCGTGCCGAGGGATGCATGACGGTGGGAGAGCACCGACTCAAACGGAGCCTTGAAGATACCAGGCGACCTTTTCAAGTAACCAGCCTTACCACGTCGTGCGGGGCTCCGACGTGACTGACCTTTATTTCCCTAGCTATTCGTGGGAACAAACATGGATAAGAAAAACTTAAAAAACAGAGAAAAGCGGGACGACACCGCTAAACCAACTGCTGACCGAATGGAGCATGACATCCAAAACAGTCAGCAGATCACCTCAGAGACAAGAGGGCCCTGCAAAAGATAAGAAGGGGGGGAAACCCCAAAGAAGAAAGGCTAATCCCAGGAAAAAGCCATACTACCCACCTCTTGGTCAACCGGGAGGGCTTGATGACTACTTCAGGTTTCTTCAACAGGGCATGACACCAGAAGAAGCCAGAGAAAATGCACTGACCAGGAAAGTGCAGACACCAGACAAGGCACAGAAAAGGGGGCCCAAAAACATAACCCCTCCGCACAAAGCGGACGTGAAAAAAAAGAGGACGGAACCTCCTCATGCTGACAGAGCCGCTGGGCCAAGCACCAGCTACGCCGAGTCAGCAAAAACCATAAAGGTGGCAGCACTCCCCGCGGCATTCCCTCAGTGCAGAAGAATTTTCTGCCCTAGAGGTCGCCATTGTGGAGGAAATGATGAAAGGGGCGGAACATAAACTCTAATTTGGAGGCATACATTTCCGACCAAGCATGCTGGTGATTGACTGCCTTACCAAAGAAACAGTTTTAGTGGCTGATAGAACACGTCCCCAGGTTGGAAACCTGGCAGGGAGAACTAATGGTGTGCCTGGGAGACGACATCCCAAAGGCGCACACCATCACAGTCTTCTTCCCAAGAAGCAAAGGGCAAGACCCCCTTAAAATCCTAAGCCTGGTGAACACCCAAAACGAAGGGCTTAGCACTCAGCTGTGGAAAGTAATGGGCTGCAAGGACGAGGGTAACAGCCAGCTACTCAACATCGGCATAGACGATGGGTCCTGCGAAACTATTAGGAAAATGGGGTACAACCTCTTCTATAGGTTCGGGAAAATCCCCGTACACGGCCTAAAGAAGAGAAAGGGTAAAGAGGAAACTAACGAGGAACCGAAGGAGCCCACCTCCTCGGAATCCAAACCGGAGTCTCCTTCAGAAGAAGACGAAGGGAAAGTGGACGAAGGCCTTGAGGAGGGAGAGAAAACTCTCACTCCGGCAGAGGAAGTTCCCAGTGACGAAGAAAAAATGCTTCTGGGCGATTAGGAGGTCATCACTCCACCACACCAGAAACAACAATAACAGGTAAGATGGCGAATTACACCACAATAGCCCAGGTGAACGCGCATCACGCTACGGGAGCATCTGCTGCCATAGCGCGGTTGTTCACGTGCAGGCACACTTGGAAGCCGTACTAATCCAAGAACCTTGGATACACAAGGGGCAGATCAAAGGTCTGTCAAGTAAAGGGGCAAAAATAATCTGGGACAGTCGGTGTAACGACCCTAGAGCATGCATTCTCCTGAATGAAAATATTAATCATTTATGTCTTTCAGAATTTACGTCGCGGGACTTGGTTACGGTTCGGGTTAAACTTATTACCGCGACCTAGTACTGGCATCAGGCTACTTTGCTGAAGATGAGCAATCACCACCAGAAGAAGTACAACAGGAACAAACTACCGCTCCTAATTGGCTGTGACGCCAACGCCCACAACACCATCTGGGGAAGTACAGACACAAACCTAAGAGGTGAGCAACTGTTAGAATTTATCTTTCAAACAAACCTAAATATACTTAATGTAGGGAATACACCAACATTTGTTACTAGGGTCAGACAGGAGGTGTTAGACATAACACTTTGTAGTCCAAATATTGACCAAATGATCAGGAATTGGAGAGTCTCGAATGAACCCTCTCTCTCTGATCATAGAATCATAATATTTGAAGGAGTGCAGGAACGAACTGCCTCGTATAGAAACGCCAGAAACACAAACTGGGAAGAATACACAAGCAAACTGCAACGCAACCTCAAACAAAATAAGGTTAGCTGCAGGAACACACGTGAAGTAGAAGAAACCCTTCAAATCCTTAACAGAGCAATCATAAAGGCATACGAATCCAGTTGTCCTGTGAAGGAACAAGTAAACAAAAAAGGTTGCCCATGGCGGAATAGTCACCTGTCACGACTTAAATCCGAGGTTTGCTGTCTCTTTAACAGAGCCAAACGGGACAGAGAATGGCAGGGCTACACCGAAAGGCTGACTGAGTACAACAGAGAATTAAGGAAGGCCAAACGGAAAAACTTCCAGAACTTCTGTGAATCTATCACAGAAACACCATCAGCAGCTAGACTATGCAAAACCCTGGCAAAGGGCAGGGCGCAAGGACCATTGACACTTAAGAAACCAGACGGCAGTTATAGTGGAAGCGGTACACATGAATAGAGAGTTCTCTTGCCTCAAACACTACACTAATACGGTACCGCTAACAATACGGTATTTTACATGGTATTTTATAGTTCTCGGACACGAAGACACAAAAATCCTCTAATCCCTCCCTAATCTGTTTACATTTTGACAGCTGAGTTGAGTGATCTAACCAAACTTTTATTTGCTTGTTTTCTCAACTTATTATTTATTATTTTATCCTGAAGATTTTGAGTTTGATTAATTTTCCTTTGGTGTTTTTTATCGAGGAATTATTATAAGTTGCTGTTGTTGCAGACGTAAATGGAGCATAGCGTTACGGTAAGGCATCTGCTAAATTCCGTTAGATAGCGGGCTCCGCTAACGCTAATATTGTAAAAACTGTCATACTTGTCAAATATTGTTACCGTATTTAAAATTTGGCCAGCACGAGAACTCTCTAATAACTATAAAAAAACCACAAACTGTGATACAAGCAAGGCATTTGGTACACTTGTAGTATAGACTCAAATATTCATTTTGACCCGAAGTTCCTAAAAAAATTTTCCTTAGGGATGGAGAGGGGACATCCATCTGACCCCCCTCAAACTGACACTTTCTATTAACGCTATATCAGTAAACCAGCTTTTATTCTGTTTTAAAACATTCTGAATGGCAATCAGGTACTTATTTAAAAAAAGTTAGAAGTGATATTTAAAAAAAGTCAAAACAATTTATTAACACCTAATAGGAGGTGGTTACCCTAATTTTGTGAAATTTACTAACACAGAACATATCATTAGGTTATAACATTACCAACCAACAGATTAAAGAACCAGAACTTTGGTTGTTTGGGAGGAAGGAGGGAGGCACCCTTTTTCACACCCCTACCCCTCTTCCGTCAAAACACCTACTATAGCTTCGTTCGCGGATCGCGGAAAGGATTCAGAACTGGGTTCGGAACTATTTACCATGCGCAGTTAAAATAACAGCGGCGACGGGCTGTTGGTTCTGTCTATTTCCTGGTTTATTATTATGCAATGTTGATTGTTATTGTTTCAAGTAAGTTTGTACATCATAATGATACGTAGAAACAAGTTAGTGTTGGCGGTACCTGGACCAAATACTTCTCAGACAGTAGACTGGCAAGTTTGCTGTTTATGCCAAAGTGGAACAGGCGTGTTCGTTTGTCCTGCAAATAATGTAATAGCAACTCTGAAAAATAAGGGGTAGGTACCTATATCTATTAAGGCCCTACAGGTATAGACTAGAATCGGGTTCAGTGGTGGAAAAATTAGATAAAGGGGACGATGTTTTAGAAACATTTAAAGCGAAACGCGCGAAATGGCACAAATCGTGCTCTTTACGATATCTGAATCCCAAGTTCAACGTATTGCTGGAAAAACAGAAAAACAAACTACATAGTATGTACCTGGCTGGTGATTGTCTATATTTTGCACCTACACCTATCTCACCTGTTTGAAGAGATACCCATCAGAAATGTCAAATGTGAAAGTTGTAGGTAATATCAGAAAGTTTTCAATGATGTCAGTTACAAGTATACAGGGTGTATCACAAAAGTAAGGCGAAGCAAAAGTTATACTTTTTTAAATGGAAAACCCCGTATATTATTGTCCCATTAAATTAGCCTTTCAAACCTGATTCCAAATACCTATACTAGGTTTTTTAGGTTTATTCATGACGTACATCAAAACGAAAAAAAATACACGGATCATCTCATTCATAAACTGATATTTGTTGTGTTGACTAGACCACCCATGGTCCATGGACCAGGGAAGGTGAGTTGCTCACGGGGTCGGGGTGGGGAGACATCATTGCTCAATATGTATGGCGTAAAAAAACGCGCCCACACGTGAATATATCTCAAAACCTAATTGGATGAATCAATGACATCAAAATACAGATAGACCGAACAATAAACAAAATTTTCGTATGACAACATCTCTCTGTCCCTTTTGGGCCTTTGTGCTAGCCCCACTACCTA